TTTCATCCTGATATTTTGAAACCAAAATATTAACTATTAAAAATAATCCCATTTCTTACAGTTTTGCTGTTGATTAATAGATCCAATCTACTAAATACTGACACACACAGTGCTTTCACCTCTTTACATTAGGTCAAAACATACATCTGTTTCTGGTTGGTGCTTGCATCGCTTATAATTTACATCAAACAAGAATAATTGTGGTGTTCATACCCTCACACCACATAGAGAGTATCATTCCAGGGAACATTGTATATTTTTTGGCCTATTAAAGACCAAAAGATCCTTGCCGAACTTATATATCTATCTGTTTACAACATCTCTTCTAACTTGCTAATTTGTAAAGTTTAATTTAAACTATTTTAATTCATTATATTTTTTACTGTTTCTCACTCTGTCTCATTTGCATAATTTATGCAAATTAACCATTTAACTTTTTATTTTTTATCCAAAATGATAGATTATTGTCATTGATTTTGATCAGTGTGTTTCATTCAAAGAAGCCGATATTGATCAGGACTTTAATAATTATTATATTTTATGACTAGCAGGAAATGTTATCCATAACATTAAAAGAGTTTTTGACACTCTGTACTTCTCTGACAATCTGTACTTCTCTGACAATATCATTGCTTTTCTCTATCACTGTTTCCATGGAAACAAGCACTACCATCATGCTTTCATCTTTTGTAGTGGTGTTCCTCATCTGATTCCCATGGTTTAGCATATACTGTAAATTATCCCATCTGGTGCTCTGTGATACTTACTCATCTTCTTTTACTTCATCACTTTGAATCTGTCTGTGGGTGCTGTGTATATTATTGTATACATATTATTATACACTATGTACCTTTTTTTTTCAATAATCTGGGTGTCCCAAATGTGTATCTAAGAGGAAGAAAGTGAAAAAAAAAAACATAAAAAGAACATCTCTTATTCAAGTGAAACACATACATCTTTTAAATAAGATCCACACATCCAACACTGAGCATCCACTATACTTTACCAGTCACCATCAGAAAATTAATTTAAATTTTTTGTCCTATTTGCCACTAATGGCAGGAATTGATCCTTGTTACGGTAGATGTAATTTGAAAAAAGCTGAGGGTTCAATCCATCCAATATCATTTCTCAGACATGCCTTGACTGATTTTGTTCAAACCTAATATAAAGACAGGTCACATATGTGTGTACAAATTTATTTATTTATTAGTTTGACTGGCGATAATTTTTGTCCCTTGAAAATACCCAAAATTAACATTTGAACATGTCATTAACCATTTCTTTGGCATGTCTGTACTGATTTCATTCAAACTTGGTGTTAATATTATTTATGCTGGGTTACTAATGGACGTCACTTTGTTTTGTAATTTTGATCAAAATGGCTTGATTTCTCAGAAAAATTACACTGTAACATCCAAGTTACACCAAAGATGGACATTCAAATAACTAGGTACTTTTGTTTCCCCCCTAAAACATATGTAGCAAGTTCATTGTTAGAATCAGAAATTATACTTTTACCACCAAAATGTTGTTGCCGCTTCATTTCGTTTTTCTGAATTTTTTTAGTTAATTTTAGATCAATATCATTGTTAAATAATAAGGACAAAAATTGTCTTTAGCATTAGAGTTGAGACTGATAGATTTGTAGAATGATTAGATTGCCCAAGTAAAATATTTATGCTGAAATCTATACTGTTGATTTAAAAAATAAAATATTTGTACAAATTTTAATTTTCTTTAAATTCATTCAGGTGAGCAATGTGAAGAGTGTACTATTGGTTACTATGGCGACCCCACAAATGGCGGGAATTGTTCACAATGCTTCTGTAATGGGCATGCCACAGAATGTGATAACAAGTCTGGTAATTGTCACTGTACAACCAAAGGTATAACAGGAAAGGAATGTGATCGGTAAGACCAGATTGTCATTTACCAGTAAACATCTATTCTGACTATATAAATGGGCCTCAAACAATTGTTTCTATCAGTATACAGGCAAATTAAACCTCTGATGAGAGATCCAGTAAACCTGCATATTTTATTGTTAAGAGATTAAAAATTATGTATATTTTTTGGAAATTCACAACTATAGAATGATATAATTTGGTCAAGATTTCCTTGAAATCCTAGTTAGATTCAAGAAGCTACGTAACAGTGATGGTAAATGAAACCACCCTTTGTTATCTTTTTACAAGCAGGCTTTCTGTATTCACTTATACACTGTCTTTAATAACACTTTAACAGATAACCCTGAATTTGAATAGCCACACATCTATAATTCTGCCCATAGTGATTTGCAAAGGGCTTTAATGACAGTGTTTTATTCAGACAAATACTGGAATTTTGCTGCATTTGCCAGTTTACATTCCCAAAAGTCAATAACAATACATCAAATATCAATTCATAGATACAGATATCATAGTCATAAACATTGTTCTCTTTAGGCTTAATCATATAATTTATTCAAATAACTAATTAATATTTTTATTTTGTTATATAGGTGTGATTCAGATAACAAGTATTATGGAGACCCAACAAATAACGGCACATGTTATTGTAAGTAATTTCAGCTGACTTCCATCCATTGTACAATCTTCATATCTGTTCTTGTATATTCTTACAATTCCCAATGTCCGGGGAAAAAAAGAGGATATGGCCCTGTAAAGCCATTCGAATACAACAACTGCAGAGAGCTTTCAGTTAAGTTTCACCATGTCTCTAAATTTGTCTGAAAAAGCTTTTTTTGGTATTTTGTATGGAATTTATTTTCACCAATTTTTGATGACTTGAATGTGAAATATAGGAATACAAGTATATTCGCTGAATTTTATTTTCACTAAAGCACCCCTTAAGCGAAAATAGTGAAAATAAATTCCAAGCGGAAATAAAATAATCTACAGTACATTACAGTCCAACGTGAGATTCTAATTTGTGTTCAAGAGCCCTATTTTACCTGTTGTTTACTTATCGAGTTATGGCTGGATATGAAGTACCTTACTACTATTATACATTATTTGGTCTGAGTTGGTAATTTATAATATTTGGTACTGATTTGTCAAATATTGTGTATTTTTTTGATTTCAGATGAGTTACTCTTGAATTATCAGTTCACATTCAACCTCTCCAAACCTGATGACAAACATATCACTGCAATTAATTTTAAATGCACAGCTGATACCGGTAACCGAGATATCGAGTTTAATCTGAATGCGGCCAAACCATGTATTCTCATGCTCACATACAGATCAAGTAAGTATTCTTCTAATCAAACAAACTAAACACTAACAGTACTTTTAATATTATAACACAAATTTATAATAAATGG